TGCTACTACCACAGATGATCTCGCTCTCGAAATGGAATTGAACGATTCAGATTAGCTAGCCGAATGAATAGAAGGGGTAGAGCGTAGCCGCCTGTGGTCCGGGCTCCCTGTTACGACTCCACTCCGCTTTGTTTTATGAACAGTTTAGTTTGTGCCTTCAAGTCGCTGCCCATAGGAAGACGTTACTTGGATATAACCTAACGGAATATCTTCACAACAGCTCCAAATGATACAAAACTCATATGGGTGAGTAGAACATGATGTAATAATGTAAAATCAAGGGGCCTAAGTAAAAAAAACAGTGTTCCCCTTTAAGGTTTACATTTTTAAGACAAAATGGTTTTCGAAATTTCAGGAAAGTTATTTGGTCATTTGGGACTTTTTTCTGATCTTGAATATACGTGTATTATTCAGAATGTAGTAAGTCCCTCAGTGTGATCTAGGGGTTCAAGTTTGAAACCTAGTTGTGTCAGGAAGGGTATCCAGTAAAGTCTTAGACTGCCAAGTCTAAGTGTAAGTTAGAATGACTTGCTGTAATGTGCTGCGACCTCTGAATGAGGGAGCAGCAGAAAGGACCCATCATTTACGAGTGCTGCCATCAGACTGAACAGCAAATAAGTAAATGCAATGGATTTTTTTTTAAAGATAGTATAAACTAAAACATAATTATTATTGAATAAAAAAATCAAACTAAAATATATTATAAAGCAAAATAAACTTTACCGGGAATTAAGGAATTTATTAATTAATAAATGTGAAAATATAAAAAATAAACTTCATTATAGTCATATAAAAATGTTCCTGTTATATATATTTTTTATACATATATGCTTTTTAAACTCATAAAAGTTTTTTTTTATCTTTTAGCATTTCTATAACTTGTTTGTGTTTTGACATCCTGCTTTTATGAAGAGAAAACGGTTGTCTTTTTTAATGAGAGGCTTTCAGACTGGCTCATATTTTTATCTCTTCGCAGCTACCTAGCAGTAAAACAAAGCTGTAGTAAATCTGCGTGCTGTGTAAACATAATCAACCTGGAGATTTAAATGCAACACGGATCAAGAATCAGCAATCAGCCTGTAGCCAATTTGCCTCAGGCTAATTGCTGCTGTTGCATAGTGGTTTGTTGGTTTTGCAGGTTTAATGCCAGTCGGTTGGAGAAATCTGCTGTTTGCAAACCATGCAGACAGGGGTCACTGACAAGTTGCTGCATATACCGGTATAATAATAAACAAGCAGCCTGCCTTTCATCAGCTCTGACCACCAGACAAATAGTTGAAAAGACTGCTTTAACTCCACAGCATCAGGCTGGCTTCTTACCTGAGGCAGAGCTTGCATCACGGTGTCCAACAGAGCTCTCATCCCTGTGGCCATCTTCAACAGCTTCAGCACTAAAACGTCACAACATGTCATCTCCTGTCAGCTACAATACATGTTACTCTGTGTGTATTTCTGCTCCAGTGTGTTACCTCTTGTTATTCTGAGGACCCTCATGATCCGTATAATTGTGGGATTGATGGGGAGGGAAGCACTCAGGTCTATTTCCTCCAGCGTGATTCCCATTATGGACAGCAACACAATAGCTAGGTCCAACTGGTTCCATCTAATAAAGAAAAAAGAAAAAAAGCTTTTTCTTTACATCTAAAACATTTAAAATATGGTTCAGTTTGAAAGTAAAAAGTAGTTATGTTTCTCGCAGTAGATAATTATTTTGCATTAATCCAGAGTAGTTTTTTTCAGAAGCAAAACTGCTAGCTAGAGATATGATAATTGATGATTATCCTCGAAACTCAAATATTAGAAGATGAGGGACACTTTCAAAATAGATGTGTTCCAGTTTTCTGCTTGTTGACTGTTATCATCTCCTATTAATTAATTCCCATATATATATATATATATATATATATATATATATATATATATATATATATATATATATATATATATATTTCACATTAGGTGAAAAAAGGGCCTTTTAATTAACATCCTCTATTTTATGTAACCCCAAAATATTATTGTCAT